AAAAATATCTCATTTAAAGCTTTATTCAAATTATCTTCCTTCAATACTTTGTATTTTATTTTATTTTTTTACAAAAAAACAACATATTTTCACCAAGCCACCTATAGCTATGCTCCCAATTTATTGCAGTTTATTTTATTCACAAAATTCCATATTTTACTAATATAAAAAACTGAGAAACAATGCCCCATATCATATTAATTAGTCTAGAGCACAATTGTGGTTACATCGGTTAACAGGCCAACAGGGTTACCTACCCATTGTTAATAATTTTGTTTCTGTGAGTAAAATAATTTGGATTTCCAAACCACAAATTACAAATCCATTAATGTCCCAACCTGTGAGTTGGAGCAAGCCTCTTCAGGTAAACTGCAATCGGTTACAACTTCATTTGCAAATGCATTTTGCTTGCTTCAAACAGCTTCTAGAGAGCTGTTTCATAACGTGCTTTAGGATCGTTTCCAGAATAACCCCCTAAGGTTGTGTGCACTCTGGCTCAAGGGACTTCTCATTGGTAGGTTTAAAACTCACATAGCTCGCTCCTAAAAGCGCAGGATTGTTTTAGTAAGCCTGCATAAAAAACGAAAAGCCAGACCAAGAAAAATGCAAGGAGTCCAGGCACGGTGGCTCACGCCTGTAATCCCAGCACTTTGGGAGGCTGAGGCGGGCAGATCGCTTTAGCTCAGAAGTTTGAGACCAGCCTGGGCAACATGGCAAAACCCCGTCTCTAACCCTACCCAAAATACAAAAATTAGCAGGGTGTGGTGGCATGCACCTGTAGTTCCAGCTATCTGGGAGGCTGAGGTGGGAGGATCACTTGAGAAGGAAGGTGGAGGTTGCAGTGAGCTGAGATCGCCCCACTGCACTCCAGCCAGGGTGACAGATCCAGAACCTATCTCAAATACATATACATACATACATACATACATACATACATACATACATACAAGAAGTCCACAAACGTTTTATTTCTTTTCAGCTGTTCTCTCCCTTTTGGCCACCTTGTTAAAAACTTTACAAATATTTTCAAGTAAAACCTTCTAATTCACCCCAACAGATGAAACCTTCTCTGGCTTAAGCCAGAAGCAAGAGAGAACCCTGCTAGACCAGCCATTTCACGAGCTCTCTAAAATGCAGCTCTATTTGGGAGACTTCTATGTAGGAAGTAAGGCTAATAATGCAGTTCCCAGAAGATTAGGTGTGGTTTTAATGAGCTCACTCAAGGCGGGTGGGGAGGGGAGTGGTTCCATGGTTCTATTTTTAAAACTCTTGTAAAGATCATCCTTTGTTGTCTAAACACCGCAGAAGAGAAAGAGACGTCTCCCAGTTTCTCAGGTTACAATCAGAGGTAACAACCTGTGCTAACCCGGTTTCCAGCGAAAAGGCCAAAAGTGTACTAATAACTTCGGCTTCAGCTGAGACTGGGATAACCCGCTTGAGCCAATGCCAAATTCCACCCAACCGGCGCGCAGGCGAGCGGGGCTTCTCCCCCCCAACCCTGGCCCAGGCTGCTTCTGCCAGGTCAATGCTGCCGCGTTGGTGGAATTCCCTCGCTCCAAGATCAGAAAGGCGGAGGCTTCAGGAAGTGGTTCTCCTCTAGTTGCAAGGGACTGCCTGGATATTTGGAGGGAATGGCAAACGCCCTGCTTCATGAGGTGAATGAATATAAATTAAATCGCTCTCGTATTTAAAATAACTTCGGGGATGACAGTGTCCAGTCAATCGGCCCTCGATGTTGGATTAGCTACCTGGGCTTGTTGTCTGCGAGTTAAGGTCCTGCAAAAAGTCCCTAGTTTGTCACCTCAGCTAACTTACCTCCTCCGGCAATTCTCTCGGTACACCCTCGGGTTGGAATTGTAATTCATTTTCCATAGCAGAAATGGGGAGGGCTCTAGAGAAGGTCCAAGGCAAATCGTTTAAAAATTTTTTATTTTTGGCCAGGCGCGGGGGCTCACGCCTGTAATCTCAGCACTTTGGGAGGCTGGGGCGGGCGGGCGGGCGGGAGTTTGAGGCCAGCCTGACCGACATGGAGAAACCCATCTCTACTAAAAATACAAAAATTAGCCTGGCGTGGTGGCACATGCCTGTAATCCCAGCTACTCGGGAGGCTGAGGCAGGAGAATCGCTTGAACCCCGGAGGCGGAGGTTGCGGTGAGCCGAGATCGCCCCATTGTACCCCAGCCTGGGCAACAAGAGCGAAACTCAGTCTCAAAAAATTTTTTTGTTTTATTTTATTTTTTAACTTTGAGACAAGGCCTCGCTCTATCGCCCAGGCTGGAGTGCTGTGGCTCAATCATAGCTCACAGCAGACTCGAACTCCTGGGCTCAAGGGATCCTCCTACCTCAGCTTCCAAGTAGCTGGGATGACACGCGTGAGCCACCATGCCTGGCCAATTTTTATTTTTATTTTTTGTAGAGACGGGGTAGCTATGTTGCCCAGGTGGTCTCCAACTCCTAACCTCCAGTGATCCTCCCGCCTCGGCCTCCAAAGCGCTGGGATTACAGTCGTGCGCCACTGCGCACGGCAATTTAGAAACTGCACCGGGAGCACGTACCTGGGCACTGTGAAGAAAAGGGCATGGACTTGAAGTGTGACCGCGTTTGAATCTGAGTTGTGCCTGGGACACCCCACCTCCTGGGCCGTAGGGCAGAGAGAGAGGATGTCCTCCTCCTAGCTCTCCGCGCTCTAGCCGAATGCCTGGCTCCTGGTGGATGCTTGATACGTGGGACATGTAGGGGGAGGGCGTGGCGGGGTATTGGGAATGTCCCGCGGAGTGGATTTCGGGAGAGTGGCGCTTTTCTCTAGAACTCTCTTCCGGTTACACCTGGAGTAAACGCTTGCCACTCAAGAAGGAAAACCCCAGATGAGCAGCTAGGACTGAGGGGGTGGGCGGGAGGGGGGAGATCAGTACAGGTACTCCTCCTAATGAGGCGGTGCTACAAAATAACCAATTTTAATAAAGACTGCAAAGAAGAAAACCAGGTTCTGCTGTCGGAGTGCACAGGCCCCCAGCCGAGCGCCCAAGACCCAGGTTCCGGGCCCACCCTGAGGCAGCCTCTTGGAAATCTCTAAGCTGGAATGTGTGCGTGAGCCATTGCCCTCTTTGTGTGTGAACTTGAAGCGAAATCTGGGCGAGGCGGGGCCGTGCTACTAGTAATCGGACCCACAGTCGCGGTTCCGAGAAGCCCCAAGCTTCCCCGGCCTCCCGCAGCACAGCGGGGAGGGCACGAGGCGCCTCTGTCCCCACCCCAGAGCACGGAGCGCGCGGCAAATGGCCTGGTGACCGCTCCCCACCCCCACCCC